AGGTCCATAGAGGCCAGTCATTCACACAGGTGCTCCTGCCTCAACCTTCCCACCTTCGCAGGACTCCTGTATCTAATTCTCTCCTTCCCCCCCCCCCACACACAGAGGGACTGTGCCATTCCTGACTCCTGCTAGAGTGACCCATCAACCTTTCACTCATTTCTGCTTCTGAAATGTTTCCAAACAAGTAGAGTCGGAGCAGTGTGGCATGGACACACATATACACACACACAGAGCTGCCCTGCCCTCACCCCACTGGGCTGGGTGTGAGGGCTCCTCTGGTGCAGGTGGCTCTGCCAAACAAAGCAAGTCAAGCCACGACCTGCTTAGGTCCTGAGGTGTAGAAGCTTTCCCTGCTGCCCTTTACCTCCTCCCAGAGCACCTAGGTTCCCCCTGGGTCCATCACCCCTCTCAGGAAACAGTTCTCAGAGCACAATGGGGCCTGTTGCCTGGATTGGGAGGCAGGGAAGACCTCTGGCCCTGCCTCCTCTCCCCAGTTCTCAGGCCCTGTGGCCCTCCCTAGTTCCTCCAGATCCCACTACCTCAAGCAGGACGTAGCTCCTAGAGTCCAGTGAGTCCTGTACCAAGGATCTGACTGCTCCCACCCCCATCAATACACATTTGCCCTTCTCTGCCTGCGGAGGGTTGAGCAGGGAAGCAGCTGTGGGGAGAGCTCCGGAATGCTCTGCCCAGTGGCCCAGCCCCTGGAGAGGAGCCCAGTCAGGTGCTGGGCCAAGGAGGGGGGTCTTACCACACCATCCAACCCTCTGAAGGCCTCACCCAGCACCAGCCTCAGCCCCACCAGGACTCCTTGTTCCCAAACTGGCCTTTGGGGAAAGTTAATGATTGGCAAAATCTTCTTGCCCTGTCTCTGGCAGACCCTTCTCCCCAGGCCTCCTTCACTGCCCCTTCTCTTGGCCTCCCAGGCCGGAGGGCCCCTCCAGCAGCCCCAGACCTCCCAATCAGGCCTGGGCTACTCACCTGCCTCCGCTTCCGTGCTTCTCTGTTCCACAGGGCTCTGGCGCCTGGGCTCTGCCACTGCCAGGCGGCTCCCTGCACTCAGCCCAGCCGGGACTCCTCCCCACTGCACTCCCAGAATCTGTCCCACTCCCTCCTGGGCCTGCCCGCTGAGCTGAGCTGGCTCAATGAGGAGATAGTGGCTGAGCTCCTCTCTACTTGGCCCTGGGGTTGGGCCCTTGTTAAAGGGAAACACACCTTTTTTAACACCTTCTCCCCAACCCCAGAGGGAGTGGTGAAGCTGGCGCTCCCCCAACCCCACCCTCCTCACCCCACAGGGCCTGAGCAGAACCTGACAGGGTGGAGAAAGACAGGGAAGGACTATCACCTGCCCTTCTCACCTGGGTCACTGAGAACCTGGTTTCAGGGGCTCCCCATTAGACAATTTCAGTTGGCATTCCAGGATAGCCTAGCTGGCCACAGAAACTTGCTTGCTGTTAGGATTTCACCTGATTTCTGAGAGCTCAAGTCAGAATGCAGACAGCAAGGACCAGTGTCCGGTTCCCTGGTCTTCAATCAGGAACCCCTAAGACCCACCCCTAAGTTTCATCATGGACAGTAAAGGACTCCTCTGGAAACCCACCCTCCACACACAAAAAGTGGCCAGCTCAACCTCCCTACACTAGAGGACAGCTGAAACCAGAGAGGGGCCACTTGCCCACTACAACAGTAATGATGTTCCTTCCTTGGGCACTCGCAGTGTGCCAGGCTCTCTGACAAGTGTGTTACATGATGTGTGGCACCTCTACTGACCCTGTGAGGGAAGTCCTGTGAATGCCTCCATTTTACAGAAGAGGAATTGACATGAAGAGCACACCCAAAGTTCCAAAGATAGTAAGTGGCAAAGCTGGGATTCAACTTAGGCCTGGCAGCCCCACCTTCGCCTTAGTCATCCAGGACAGCACACCCACCCAGGTTCAAATCCTTTCCCAAGGTGTGCACACACACCCTCATCTCCTGTCAGAGGGCTGCCACTAGCAGAGAGAAACCTGTCCCTCAGAGGAGGCCAGGTCACCTACCTTTGGGGCCTGGTGCCACCCTCCAGCCAAATCCACGGGGAAAAGCGAGACCCCATTCACTTCACTGCCAACTACTCCAGTCCCACAAGTTCCAGACCACTGATGACTCTACCATTCACCTCAAGCTCCCCTCACCCATGGACCCTGGGGTTAGGAGTGTCCAGTCAAGACAACATCTTTCACTTTTTTCATTTTTTATTAATCAAATTATATAAAACAAACCATCATTCTATAAATGCCAGAGCACCCAGCTGGTCCTCTCCTCCCCAGTGTCATGCCTTTAGCCTCTCCCCAAGCCCTGCTCATCGTCCCCCGTTGCCCTAGCCCAGAGAGTCTTGGGAGGAAACTAGGGCAGAGCTAGAGGGAAGAAGGGACAGCAATGGACAGATAGCTATGATTTGGGCTGGGAAAGAGATTGGGAGGGGTAGGTTTTTTAAGACCCATTTTAGTTCCAAATACCCAGCCATATTCCCAGTCCCATTCTTCAAATCATTTCTCATAGCCCAGTTCCTCTCTGCCCTCCCCCCCTACCAAATTCCCTCCAGCATCCCCCAGTATCCATCCCTGGCCCAACCCACCCCCAAGCCTATCTCTGGTGAGCACTCCTGGATCTGTAAACTCCACAGAGCACCCCGGACGGAAGTACATGGAGACCCTGTGGAAGGCCATTGAGACATGGACTTGGCAGAACTGAGGAGAGGTGCAGGCCAGGGAGTAGGGCGGTGGTGGAAGAGAGTTTTTATTTCCAGAACCACAGTCTCTAAGACCCCCTCTCTCCAACACCTGCCAAGCATTCCAGGGGTAGTTCTCAGCTCCCTCGAACAGGGCTCTCCAGCTTCACACTCTTGGCTGCTTCTCCAATCAGCTCCCAGAAACTCCCAAACTCCAGCTTAGAGTCGCTACAGCTGCTCAGGTTGGCAATTTTCTCTTCCAGCCCACAGTTGCTCTAAGAGGAGGGAACACACTTTGCTCAGGAAGGCAGCATTTTCAAATCTTCCCACCCTGCCCTGCCCAGAAGTGGGAGCAGGACCTGAGCCTCCCTGGCCAGGGGAAGGGGGGGGGGGTTGCTAGTGCCAGTGTGGGTGGGGTCTCAGAGCACTTGCTTGGGAAGTCAGGGTACTGGCTGGGCTGGGGTCCTCTCCCTCAATACCGGCATGAGGTGAGGCAGCTGCTGGGTAACCAGGTCTTGTAGCTCAGAGGGGGTCAGTGTCTCCTTCCCACCCTCTGCAGAGTAGTGGTGGAAGTTCTTGATGAGGGTCTCAATGGCCCTCTCCACATCACTGAATTCCTGGGCATCCTGAGGGCAGTGGACACAGAGTCAGGAAGGCTGCTCCCACCCTACAACAGCCTGCTTCCCCCTGGGGCCTGGCAAAGCACACTCCAAAGCCCAGAATCCAGCCCCTCTTTTCCCACCCCTGGCCTGGCCTCCAGGCCACAGTGGCCTCTGCCTGAGCCACAGGTTGGGCAAGTCTTCCCTCCCCACCTCCCCCCCAGCCCAGGCACAGCAGGTCCCAGCATGCAACCAGCGTCCTCTTCCAGGAGGACTCCATCTATAGCACCTTGTGTGGGCCCCAGGGAGGGGTTCAGCTCTCACCAGCTGCATCTGGAGTGCAGGGCAAGGCCAAGGTGAGGGGCAAAAGTCAGTGGGGACATAGACCCTCAAGGTGGAGGAGTGTGGGAACAGAAAGACAGGCTAGGAGGGATGGGCCCACCTCAGCATTGGCTGACCGACACTGTCCCATGGTGCCTGGTGCACTGGGTCCTTTGTTGAGTTTTGTCGTCCTACTACTGCCTCCCCTAGAGGAGCTGATGGCTCATGATCTGCCCAGAGAAGCGGGAGGCCTGAGATGAGAGGAGGGCTCAGTGTTTCTTTCCCAAATGCTCCACCCTAGATGGTCTGTGCCTCACCAAGGGGTCAGAGACGACTAACTCCCCAGAGCCCAGTTCCTGTCCTGGGTCCATGAGCCAAGATCACAGTCCCCAGCGCACCCCATTTCTCATCTTATCCTCTTCCAACTACCCACCTCCATTTGAAACATGCCCCCAACCTCCAGACCTTGCCCCTAGCCCTTACCTTGGCAGACCAAACTAAGTGAGCCCTCTGAGTGAGGCAGCCCATTTGGATAAAAAGTCCTGGGTTTCCTTACCTGGTGGCAGCCGGTGACTGAGGACAGGAGGAGTCAGCTCACCTGAGCTCAGCTCTTATACCTGGGGGAAGGGAGGGGAAGCAGGGGGCTGGGCCTCTTCCCTAAGCCACCCCTGCTATTGCAACAACCTAGGCAGAGAGCCAGTTGTGTGGGCCCCACCCTCCATTGGCTGGAGTTCCTCAGCCTACCCTCACCCCTGCCACGAGGAGAGGAGGGGAAGAGTTATGGGAGGCTTGGGCTGGCATGCCCCTGGCTTCAGATCATCTTGTGGGGTCATAGAGAAATGAGGAGACCACCAGCAGAGAGAGGGCTTAGAGAGCCCTGGGGTCAAGTCTAGAAGGTAGAAGGGCCTGGGGCAATTGTGGCATCTAAGTCAGTAACCCAGTTATCAGAAAAGAAAAAGCAGAGGTTGATCAAGGCAGGGTTTGTTAGACAGAGGTGAGTGAGAGACATGTGCTTGAGGGAGGGCCACAGGAGCCTCTCTGTACTTTCCAAGTGTCACTCACCCGCTCCTCTCAACCAGAGCCAATTTGAATAGTGACACTTAAGACTGCCTAGAGCTCAGCCTTTCCCAGTCCTGACTGCAGAGATGAATGGAGAGAACTTGGTAGGGAGGAAGGAGCCAAGGAAAGGCAGCCTGGAAGAGGAAGCCAGACTGGGTGAGAGTACTGACCTGACTTCTTCAGCTCCCACAGTGGCCCAGAGTCCACATGTGCAAGGCCCAGATGGGCTGCCTGGCAGCTAACACCTGTCCAAACTGGTTGGGCTGCATGCTCCTCCTTCTGCTCAGGAACTCAGAACCTAGAACCTTCCCTGACCTATCAGATGCACAGGTAACAGCCCTGGGAGCCTGGACTGTAGCACCAGGGACTCAGCCCAACCCAGGTGGCCCTTCTCACCTACTCAGGGCCAGAGGCCTGGAACTTAAAGTCATGTGGTAGGTTGGGAATGGGAGGAGGAAGCGCTGAGGTGACAGCAAGGGGCAGGGCAGGAATGGAGCAGGCCAGGAATGGGGCAGGCCGAGGGCCAGAGTTCCTGGGAGCCTTTCCTAAATGCAGAGGTCAGAGCATACCTCCCCATCTCACCTTCTAGGGCTCCCTGTACTGTACTTTTGGTCTCAGTCTGGGGCCTTCTGTGTCTCAATATGTGGGAGCCAAACTAATTAACTCAAGTCACAAGTCAAACTACCTCCTTTTGTTGTTTATTCAAAACAACAGGCCTCCCGCATACCAAGGACCTTATCATACCTAGGTGTTACAGCCCACATCCTGACCCCCTGCCCTTTGTCCTCCTAGCCCCCTTGTGCACTCAGCCCACATCCTGACCCCCTCCCCTTTTTGCACTCCTCACTCTACTCTGCACTCGCCCCACTTGCGACCTTTATCCCTTCCTTCTCATTCGCTCACCTGAGACAAAGAAGACTTGTCCCTGAGCCAATCAACCCTGAACACGACCACCCTGTACCTGTCAGTTTAAGACAGACATGGTTTACCTACCAATAAGGGAATGGGGTGGGATGGTCTAATGGGAGGGAAGAGGGAGAGGTATAAAGGGACTTTCTGGATAGTCTGTAAGGGCTGTTCCCACTTTTTCTGAATAAAATTTCTCGTGCCTTTGCAGCGATGTTCGGACTCTCAGAGTGGTGCTTGAATTGAGTCTGGGGGTTAACATATGCAGGGGCCTGTCCAAGGGCATCTCAGTCTGAAAGTTCCTCTGAACAGCTTCAACCTGGGACCCCTCTGAGGGACTCTCATTCTGAGGGCTTCTCTGAAAGTGACTCAGCCCGGGGTCCCCTGAGGAGTCACAGTCTGAGGGCCCCTTATGGAGTCTTCTGTGAGGGAGCCCTCCAGGGTGGGAGCCCCTAAGGACAGTCTTCACCAGTGGTGAAGTCCCTCAGATTCCCTGTCTGGAGGTCACTCTGAAGTCTCTGTCCAGAGACCCTGAGATGGGAGGCTTCAATGTGGAATCTTTTCATGGTGTTTGACAGAGAGCTTGTCTGAGTCCTGACTGTCAGCAGCAGCACAGTACACCTGCCTGCTGGCAGTGCTGCCCCGCCCCTGAGCCCTCTGGTGGTTGGCAGCACAGATGACATGCCCCCAGGGCAGCCAGATGGGTGCCTGGTGCCAGTTCTGCTTCCTGTGGGCCACTGCTCTCTCCCTGCTGGCCAGGAGAGAACCTGGCTGTCCCACCTTCTGCTTTGTGAGAAGGGAGGGTGGGAGGAGGTCCAGTGCTCCCAAACACCCATCCAGACAGGGTCCTGGTTAATCAGAGGCTCTGGAATTTTTATTTATTTATTTATTTTTTTTTTTTTTGCAGTTTTTGGCCGGGGCTGGGTTTGAACCCGCCACCTCCAGCATATGGGGCCGGCACCCAATTCCTTTGAACCACAGGCACTGCCTGAGGCTCTGGAATTTCAACCCAGTTCTACCTATTCTTCCCTTTGTGACATCTCTGAAATGTTTTCTTATCTTTAACAAAAAACTTAAAAATAGTACCTACCACAAAGGGCTGTGACAATTAATTGAGATAAAGCAAGTGAAATATTTAGCACTGTGCCTGGCACTTAGTAAGCCTTCAACACATGTCCATTGCTGTTATTATCCTCCCAGACAAATCCCAGGACAAGAAAACTGGAAGCCAAGACCATGCAGCCAAGCCCCAGGAGGTACCTAGGTGGGTGGAATCCCCTCACCTGCCCCATGTCTCCGTCTCTACTTTTCATATATTCATTCAACATTTTTTTTTACATAGAGTCTCACTCAGATACCCTAGATAGAGTGCCATAGCATCAGCCTAACTCACAGCAACCCCAAACTCCTGGCTTAAGCAATGCTCCTTCCTCAGCCTCTAGAGTAGCTGGGACTATAGGTGCTGGCCATAACACCCCACTAATTTTTCTATTTTTAGTAGAGATGGCTTGCTTGGTTTACCTACCAATAAGGGGATGGGGTGGGATGGTCTAATGGGAGGGAAGAGGGAGAGGTATAAAGGGACTCTCTCTTGCTCAGGCTTGTCTTGAACTCCTGAGCTCAAGGGATCCGCCTGCCTGAGCCTCCCAGAGTGCTGGGATTACAGCCATGAGCCACCACACACAGCCCATTCAACCATTTATTGCTGAACATCTACTTCGTACAAGACCTGGTGTTAGGCTCGGTGCCTATAGCTCAACCGGCTAAGGCGCCAGCCACGTACACCTAAGGTGGCAGGTTCGAACCCCAGCCCGGACCCGCCAAAACAACAATGATGGCTGCAACCAAAAAATAGCCGGGCATTGTGGCGGGCGCCTGTGGTCCCAGCTACTTGGGAGGCAGAGGCAAGAGACTCGCTTGAGCCCAGGAGTTGAAGGTTGCTATGAGCTGTAATGCCACGGCACTCTACCCAGGGGGGCAGCTTGAGGCTCTGTCTCAAAAAAAAAAAAAAGACCTGGTGTTAGACACTGCGTAATATTCAATGATGAATAACATTCCCTGTCCTCAAGGAGCTCATAATCTTCAGACCCACCCCCAGGGCAAGGCAGAGCTTTCCCGTCACCTGGTCTCCAAAGAAGAAACCACAGTGGCATGAGTAAGAAACACTTGCATTTCAAGGAAGAAGCTTTATTTGGGGAAATTGGGGTTCTGCTTGGCCCTGCCCAGCCCTGCCCCACCTGCCTCGATCCCAGCCAGCTGGCTTTACTTCTTCCGGATCTCCAGGACCTTCTCTTTTTTGACTTCCTTGGCCAGCTCCCCAATCAGTCTCCAGTACTCATTGAACTTGAGCTCCATGTCCTGATTCACATCCAAGCTCTTCATCTTCTCCTCTAGAGAGCCCACATCCTGGGGAGATATCAAAGAGATGGTAGGATTAGAAACTAAAGTTCTTCAGACAGGGAGAGAGAGGGAAGAATTGCCAGCTGCCTGTCTCTGAGGGCCTTTTCCGCAGAGTGCTGGCACCTGCCTCTTACCTAAAGGATGAGGCTGTAGCCCCAAGACTCTTTGAGATGGGGTCCCAGTTCCAAAGTACACCAGCAGAGGGAGGTGGAGGATCTGATTTGTAGTGCTCACTCTGGTATAAATACTCCCATCACAACCAGTTATAAACCACAAACATGATTTCACTGGGAAGAAATGCACAGTCTGTTCTCCCAGCAGGTGTGACCCAGCTGGGAACTATCCTAAGGATGGATAAAGTCTGACCACCCTAGAGCCTTCTCAACCTCCAGCATCCTCATTCACAGAAACCTGGAGAAATTCCCAGTAAATGCTAATTTGCATAACCCCAGTGTCTTCTCTTTTATCCAGTTGGGTTACTACCCGAAAATAAGACACTGTCTTATTATTTATTTTTTCTCAAGAAGACACACTAGGGCTTATTGTCAGGGGATGTCTTCTCTCCGTGCCGAAATGCATGGCGTGGCTATGCAGATATGCTGCATAGCCAGGCCCATCATTAGGTTTTATTATTAGGGTAGGGCTTATATTTAACAAATGCATAGAAATCCAGCTAGGGCTTAATTTTTGAGTAAGTCTTATTTTTTTTTTTTTT